AGTTTTCTCATTGCGATGGACGAAGCTTACGTGAGTCTGTGCCGTTTAAAAGTTTCTTGGCCTGTTCAGGGGTTGGGAAGGAGAGATTTTGTGCAACATCTACGAACCTAGGAGGTACAGATCAGTCGCTCGTCGTCGTCGTGGCATGCAGGAGCAAGCCACAGCTCACATCGACCACACGCCAGGGCCTCGACGGTTTTAAGACCTTCGCGCAGTGAAATCTTACATGAGCAAAATTCTGAATTTTAACGGGTCCGCCAGCGCAGACGGACATCGCTTTCAAATCTTTTATGTACAGAAGAAGGAAAAGGAAATCTCAAAAGCAAATCTTTTATGTACAGAAGAAGGAAAGGAAATCTCAAAAGACGTAGAGCTCACTTGTGAAGTGGATTACCGAATGAAAGTGTTTAGCGACCGTCATCTTTGTTATTCTGCCCTTCACAGACTCCAGTCTGTTCTGACGTCATAACCTTCTTCTGATTTGTTTTTTTGTCTCTTTGTGTTGTGGAAATGCAAGCAAATATTTACCTTCCTCCGTGGGCTGTTTCTTAGACTTTTATTTTGCCTAATTTCCTGTGAGTTGCGTTCCTTGCTTTTCGTAAAATGTTCCAACATTAAATCACTGTGCGGTTTTGTACTCGCAGTTTGTGATCTGGTTTTCGTACGATGATGCTGATGCAGTTTTTTTTATATTCGCCCTACAGTCATCTTCATAATAATTGTCACTTCTCGAACTTTTAAAACGTGAAAGTTTTCTGTGGTCAAATTGAAAAGAGAAAAATTATTGGATGTTGTTTCTTTATAAATCGATAGCCTTGATTTTGATTGTTATATTTTTGTGTTATCCCTTTGAAGCCAAAGCTCGTTTAAATAATATACACAAAGTCAGGCCTTACCGTGTCTCCATTACAAAGATCATCTTGTTAACTCTGTCTAACGAAATAATCGCTGTTTATTCTGACGATCGTACGAAGTCCGTGAATAGATTCTGTGGGTATAACACCGAGTTATTGAACGCTGATTAAGCACCACACCATTAAGAAGCGTGGGGGTGGAGGTACAGCTCCACGCATTCATTCGGTGGTAGGTGTTGCTACTGGCAAGCGACAAGCCCATTGGGCAGTAGGCAGTTGAGGAGGGAAGATCCCCCGGCCGTACCTCAGGCTCTGTGATGCAAAGAGACTGGCGTTCCGATGAGGAACGCGCTGAACCTCGGCAAGTGATAACAAAGTCCTGATAGCGTATCTGAAACAAGCACATCGCCTATTAATAGCGAATTCCAAGTCATGACGATGTCCCGAACTGACTGTACCGGGAGTTATGTCAGTTGACAGCAAATCTAGGCGATGCTGGAAGAAAGTTGACTCTCTCTCTCGCTGGCTCACCTACTGACATGATTGTCACAACCACATCGTACGTCTCCTGGCGACGTGTACCAGCTTCGGAGAGACGCAAACCCGTGGTTTTCCTCGCTCCCTCCACGCAGATGCTAGGACAGAGGCCACCCCCCTCCTTCCATACGCTTTCCAATTAATTTTTCATTAACCGTTCTGTGATCCCACGCTGTATAGGCTCAGCTGTTGACAGCGTCATTAAATAAGCAATGCGTGACGACGGGACAAGGAGTTGGGCTACGACCCGAAGAGACACATTGGAGCTTCGTGTGTTTAGCGGTTGTTTAACGACGACACAGTATTGTTGTTGACGTGGGACGCGGATAGGATGTGAGCAGAAGTGGTCCTTACCATCTGTCATTGCGCTGTTGGGGGAGGCTGAACAAAGTGTCCACGAAAGGTTGTGGGATTTCTTGGCTAGCTGAGCGACTGTTAGCGTCTCAAGAAATTGTCCGTACGATTGAGAGGCAGCGATGAGACCGCGACAGAAGTGGTCATGAGAGAAACGTAGCCACGCCGTCCGATCGTGGTCCTTGGCTTTCACATCCGTCGGGGCTCGCCAGTTTTGTGCTCGTGCGTTTAAAAACGAGAGAAAGTAGCTCAGTCAGTACAGGGACCGGTCATAAACTGGACGACTTCGGTTCGATTCTCAGCGGGGGTAGGAATTTCTTTCTTCCTTTGTGCACCCCTTATCTCAGCCAGGCCACGAGACTTCGTTGCTGTAGCCCCACGGCACTTCTTGTAGTCTCACATCCGTATGCTTCGAATTTGTTACCTTCCTTCGGTGTGAAATGCAGACCAGGGTTTTTGGTTGCGTTCATCTGCACTTCTAGCCCTTTTAAGTCAGGAAGTGCGCCCAGCATCTTTTCAAGATACATTTCATTCTGCATTGAAGCTGAAGAAGGGGTGGCTTCTTATGACGCCCCCAGTCCGCATGGTTTGGGCAGTTTCTCCACCCACAGCATCTTTGCTCTCACTTTTTATTATTTTCACACATTTGACACCAGACACTGCAAAACTTATTTCCGGTTTGGCCTGTTCTGTTACATTGCCTGACAAGTTATGCAATGCTATGTTCCACGTGTTGATCACGAGGCTTGTACAGATTGTGAATATAATGGGGTTGTGTCAGAAACACGGCCTTTTTCAGGGTTTCTGCTTTCATTTGGAGTGACTGGGGAAGTCCTCGAAAAACGTGTGTTGCTTGTTCCTCGCTGTGGGACTATATCACTCCATTACAAGGGGACCATACCCAGTTTTATGCTGCAAAAGTGATCCATGTCAGGCGCTGTTTCGTTGCGCGGCAAACCGCTTAATTAATGAAGTTATCACTGAGGCGAATTTTGTGAAACGCCTTAAACCCGGTGTGTACGTTTATTTGCTGTGGATGGAAAGGTAAGAAGAACGTGTTCATTCCGAAGCACGCGTGGGCTTGTGTGCTCCCCGGAGGACTTCGACCCGCGCGTTCAAGTGAAAAACGGCATTATTCATTAACTTTCGAACACTCTGTAGTTTACACAGAAAGTTCCTAATGTGGTGGTCAGAAGTTCAAAATAGAATGTGAACGAGTTTAAAGTTGGCTATCCTGGACGATGAAATGAAGAAATGTGGAATGGGCGGGCATGTAGGAGAAATGCATGCAGAATTTTTGCTCGGAAACCAGAGAGGACGAGAAAGTCCGCGAGACCTGCGTGTGATGGGAATTTTGTCTTAGGTGTGGCTTCACGTCGTGCAAGATGGGGCGGTGGGCTCTTGCGAATCGTTTGCTTGGGCTGATGAGCGACTGGTAGCTTCTGCAGAAGGCGGCGGGTTTCACAAGCTCTGTCTGTGGCAGTGATCGTGTCTCAGAGCTAACAAAGTTACGAAATAATCACACAAAAAAATTGTGGCCACATGCGGTCTTACGTAGGCAACTGCAGGAAGCTGGCGCCATCTGGCAAGCGGCCTCGTCATGGTTTATTTCACAACAGCTGCCCGGGGAGTCGGTGAGATACGCGAGATGTGAAGTAACTGTCGCCTCGGCGGGAGACCGAGTGGCGATTGTCCACTTCCGCGTACTTCGGAACCTGGCGGACATGGACAATGCGCGAAAGTGTGAAAGATTCAACTGGCTGATGTAACACGCCAGTGACGTCTCTTGGGGGCAGTTCTGAATCGTTGTCAGTCATGGGTTACGCTGTTACATTTGAGGATTTCACGGCGATAGAAACTTTGATTCTGGTCGTCTTACGGCTTGTGACTGCTTATATAATCTTCAGGGCAAAGCGTATATCTCTACCCTCAAATTAGAGGTTGTAAGTTCATCCAGAACGTTGCTAACCTAACCTAACCTAACCTACAGCCAGAAGGACACGATCCAAAGGTCAGCCCGTTTAGAAGACGAGGTGCCAGGAGATGGTTTGTGTGGCGCGCACTCTCCGTTGATTAAAAGTGGTTATGAAACGTTGCAGCGGCAACCTGCGGTTCTGCGTTTGTTCGCAGATAACATAATCACGACTCTGCCCGTTCGTCTGAACTGAAACAAAACAAGGGCTGACTACATCGACCTAGAATGGTTTTTCAAATCGTATCCTGGAAAAGCGAGACGATGGGCAGAGGAATTTGAGTCATGCGAGTAACGTGCATTGACAGGAGATTCACGATGTTGTTGTCTGTTGTGGGCTGATGTGAACTGGGTCCGTAGGTTGCAGTGGCAGTGAGCACCAAAGGAACTTTATTGAACAGTTGAATGTCTGTCGACTGTCCAGGGAAGAAAGTGCATTGATTCTGGATCGAAACAGACTTGGAAACAATGAATCTTTGTTCATGAAAATTCACGTTTTTCCCCTCCGTCTTGATGGCACTTTAGAACTGAAGAGGGAGGCGATATGTTCCTCCGAAGCGTTGGTAACCACGGCGTCACAATCCCGAAGACCTTTATCGACAAAGTAATCTTCAGCAGAACAAATGCTTGCTTCCCCGACTTCATTTGTTACTCAAATTAACGCATTCACTCGAAGAGTGCGGTTTTAATTATAGACTATCTTAAAACGACTTCGAGAACGCGTCATCAATAATCTTGGCTCCGTGTTAAATTTGGAACACACGAACATGATGTTGTGTGCTTTCGTTTTCCCCGCTGCCAGTCGTGCCTTCACTCTTGGGATGTGTTTCTCTTGTAGGAGCACCTCCAAGGCGTCTTACCTCGCCTATCGTCGTGACAGGGACAGAGGGTTGCCTAACTTTGAGGGGAGCTACAAGCTAACCATGTCGCCGTCTGGCCAGGAGGTCGCCACCACCACGCAGACTCTGCCCACAGGTAACAGCTCTTTTGAACACGAGCTTTTTCGGTGCAAACCCAAGTTTATTTGAAACGTGGGGCTTAACAGTGTGGACTGGATTAAACTGGCGTAGGATAGGGCCCAGTGACGAGTAATTAGCCTTTGGTTCTGTCAAAGGCAGGGAACTGCTTGACAAGCTGCACTATTGTCAGCTTCTCAAGTAGGACTCTACTCCATAGAATTGAGGATGTTGAAAGCGTAGTTCACGTGTATGAGTTTAGGTTTCCACAGTGGTAAGTATGAAGATGACTGTCTTCTGTGATTTTGGCGTCCTGATGATGGCGGCAGCAAGAACCTCAGAAACTTTGGTAAACTACTGCCAGATTACACTGCGCTACAACCCAGCAGACAGCCATCCAGTTCACACGTGTCTGTGTTTATGTATAAAAAGAAAGTACTCGGATAATCCACAGACGTAATGAAGAGTTTGCTGTGGGTGCAAATGAGGGAAAGTTCATATGTTTACATCTCATAACTTTTTAGCTAACTTAAAAATACCTTTTAAATACTCGAAAAATATGAATGCATTGAGTGTAAAGTTTCAGAGGTTTCATGAGCATGTTTCTGTGCTGCCTGTTTCAGAATGCAATAGGTTACCCAGTGCAGGCAACATAGCCACGTCAATGGACAAAGAGCATCAGCAACCAACTAGTCATCATATTCAGGCTGTGTGCAGTGAGAAGTTTGTTCTTCTAACATCTGTGATGGATTGTAATTCCAATAAGGATTCCAGTGCAAGGACTAGTGATGAAGTGCAGTTAACGGAGGAGGAGACCCAGTGCAAAGTTATACAGTCGCCACCTCCGGAGGAGCAGAGACAGGTGCCTGCTTCTGTGACAGTAAATGTGGAGACAGAAACACAGTGTGACATGCCTGAGGCCGAGCCCTCCCCGTCACTAGACCCTTGTTTGCCCCCTACTGCGCAGCAAAGGATAAGCCCTCGGGCGATGGAGTCTCTCCAGCTGGTGCAGCGATCAGAAGTTGTTCTGCGTGTGAATGCGGCGACAAGCGATGCAGCGTCTCAGACTGAATCAGAAAGGGAAATGGTGGACGTCGTGGTATCACCATTGATTCGACAAAAGCTTCAAGAAGAAATTGAATGTGAGCGGCTGTCCTTGGACCTGGTTAGCCATCTTCCACCTACTGATAAGCTTCAGGGACTGCTGGGTAGGCCTGCTCACTGTTTTATGTACTTGTATATAAAGTTGCATGTGTGCTTACACACGAGGAAGTGGAGATAAAGCTCCATTTAAACCTCGGCACTAGTCAGTTTCGTTTTATGTACTTGTATATAAAGTTGCACGTGTGCTTACACACGAGGGAGTGAAGATAAAGCTCCATTTAAACCTTGGCACTAGTCAGTTTTATACTTGACATGAAGTGTCACTAAATAGCATGCCTGTCCGTATGTCTGTCTATCATAGTCAGTATCCACACGGGTGATGACATGAGACTGTGGCGAGGCCTCGGAAATATGTCCCACATGCGCGGTGTTCCTATCAGGCCCCCCGTTGCCTGTGACAACCGGGTCAAGGTGTGTGTCGCTAACAGAGGTTGTGACTGGGAATGGTTGGATGACTGGAGTGTGCTGGAGAAGAAACACAACAGCTTGACAGAGATGTGAAGGGGCTTGAACTAAACGATTGCTTGAATGTTTGCAGTGCCTGTACCTGAGCTCAAGAAACCAACGGACTATGTGAGCGGTTTGTATAGACTGGATGTAACTCAAAGACCTCGAGTAACAACGTCAAACGCTGCAACATCACAGACGACAACGAAGTTAAAGTCTGCCACAACTACCAACATGACCAGCAATAATGACCCTGCGCCATCACCAGATGAGCGTGCCAACTGTGAAGAAGCCAGGTTAGTGATCTGACTTGTTCTTCTATCACGAGGTTAGTGCAGATTCAGTATTTCTGTTGGTCACAGTTACTCGTTCTGCCTTTGCGGATGTTGTGCACTTATCAGTTACACAGTAATCCTTTGCAAAGTGTGACGCGGGAAGAAGTAAGGTGGAATGGAAGCTCAAACTGTCTGAATATGCAAATGTTTCTAAATCTTGCAGGGCACTTTTCTTTATTCAGGTACAAACAATAGCAGGAGTCGCAGTAACGACAACAACATTAATCTTCATTCAGTGAACAGCAATAAATCCATTTCGCTTGTTGTCGTATAAACTTAAGCGGAAGCACAGTCTTGTATGTTAATATAGAAAACTGTCAAGCTTTCTTTGCAGTGATCAGTTTAATTCAGCTCTTTCTCTCATATGGATAATCCACACATCGGATTATCTGTTGGAGTGGCCGTATAAAACAGATCAGTGATTGATGTCTGTCCATGTGGGTGCAGGGAGCCTGCAGACAGCACAGTGAGTCCTCTGTCAGCCAGTTCTGCGTACTTCACCACATCTGAGTCAAAAGCAAAGTTCCTCACTCGGTACGGCAGAGACATGAAACAGTCTGAACATCTGAACGGGCTCAAAGACAACAAAGACTTGCAGCAGAAGAAGGTACGGAAATGAAACCCATCTTGTAGTTAGTTGGGAAATGATTTCAGTGTGCCCTAGGTGGGTGCGATAGTCATCCAAGACTGTAAGAACACTGTACTAAGAATGATGTTGTCACACAACCAGGAGGAGCTGATGTCCCGACTGGACCGCAAGCTGCAGGTCCTGCGAGGCGAGCATCTGGTCGTCACCGAGGAGTCGCGAGTGAATGAAGAACTTGGCGAGAGTGTTGCAGATCAAGTTTCTCGTCTGGCACGACCGCATGAAGCTTCTAAATATCGACTACACGTTGAAGAAGTAGGAAAAATTACCAGTTTGCTTTTAGGACTGTCTGGACGCCTAGCTCGTGCCGAGAATGCTCTGATGGGACTCCCACATCACCATACCGAGAGGGTAAATGCCGTGAATGCCTTTATAATGTTTGTGTGTTATGTACCTTAATTTTTAGGGCATTTCACTATTTGGCATGTGCCATATTACTGTTATTGTTTTGATATAATTCTCAGCTCTTCTGTAATATCTTCGTTATGTTTATGGTCCGTAATTTTTTTCTGCACATAGTCTGAAGAAATGCATTTCAGCTGTCTTTATTCTGACTCCTTCTTTCTGTAACATCAAACAGTCGGATACATATAAAGCGTAGGTGGGTCTCTTACTCTGTAGGATATTAGTAAGTGTTTGCATTTGGTATTTTCCTAGTAGTGTGAATTTTATAGTCTTGTTGTACTTATCGCTATGTTCATAAATTTGGAACATGTATTTCAGAAAATTTTGGAGTCAAAGAGGGACAAGCTGAAAGAACAGCTGGAAGAAGCCAAGAAATTAAAGGAGAATATTGATCGACGAAGCGTGTGCGTGTCGAACATCTTATACAAATATTTCAATGCCGAAGAATATGCTGACTACGACCACTTCATCAATATGAAGGCGAAGTTAATAATGGATTCACGGGAAATAGCAGACAAGATTAAGCTGGGAGAGGAGCAGTTGGCAGCATTGAAAGAAACCCTGTCTGCTTCTGATTGAAGCTTCTGTACATATGACATAGCCTTACTTTTTTATGCTTGTCGACCGGTGGAACCGGTCGACTCGACCGCCTAGTCTTTCGATTCCTGTGCTTTTTTATGCCCAGTGCTGCAGCATCATGTACACAGGGCATTTCTTGAATGCCTAAACAGGCAGATTTATTTAAATTTGCTCCATGAACTTTTTTTTGTTAACAGATTGGGGCAAAGGGTGCTTGACATTCAGTAGTTAGTAAAACAATGGGAAAGCGCGTGAAATAGTTGATATTGGTGTTCTTACTCTCAGTCTTTCAAATACACTAATTACCGCCAACCCCGGGTTTAAAAAAGTGTTTGAAACATGGAGTTTGAATTTCGTGCATAGGTCTATTGTAAGTATTGTTTGGTGTACCAAAATTCTGTCACTGTTACAATGTAGCACAAAGGATTTCCCTCTTAAAAATACTTATCAGCACTTGTTTTGATCTTTCCATTAATTAATAATTCTGTATTGTTCCAGTATGTATGGAGCTAGTGGATATGCTATATAGAAC